ATAAAACTGGAAGGAAAAAAGAGACCCTAGTCTATCAGAGTTTAAAGAGTTGTTTCACTAGTCATATGACTTTGAAAAGGTCCTCTCTCTGCTAAAAAACACTGAAAAGATATCTGCAGATACTACTGTGTAACTAGGACAAGACACTGAATCAACAGACTGGCAGATCTACCAGTGGTATAACTCAATAAAGGAGTGGCACGCACATATATATATATATTTTAATTCATTCCTCAAATTGCCCACTAGACTTGATACCAAGGAGAATACAAATAAACTGATCTTACTCTAGTGAGGTCTCAATTATTGAGGAGAAACCAACACCTAGCTCAGTGGTGTGTTGTTAAACCAGACATCATGGTGGGGAATCGGGGAGTGGTGCTTAATTGTAGTGTCTGCCAGTTTCTGAGGTATAAATACTCTCACCATGGCTGATTCCTATCTAACAATGATTTACTCATGATGATGTAGCTCACAAAATCCCGAAGTATTTAACAATTGGCACTCAGGAGCCCTCAGCACACCACTGATTCTCCATCCTCCTTAATTTTCTCATTCTTGCCATCTTTTTAGTTACTTTGTTATTTAACATCCTCATTGCCCCAATAGGGAAAATTAAATGAGAGCAGAGAAGCAGCTGATTTTCCTGCTGGTTCTAGCAAAGGAGATTGAATGGAGGAGAGGAAGTTGAAACTAGTATTAGCTGGATGTGTTTACGAGTTTCAACTACCCCATTCTCTCTCTGCCCCTATTACAGCAGATAACTGAAAGCAGATGCCCTAAGCAAATGTGCAAAATGCAAACACACTTTCTGACCAAATATATAGAATTGATGGCCACAACCTGGAAATAGAAATGAGGAGCAAGAAACTATGCTAGAAACCTAAGAAGCAAGAAACTATGCTAGAAACCTAAGAAGGGTCAAGTTCTTCAAAATGGCAGAGGGGAGGTTAAAATGGGAAATCAAACAATTTCTCTGGGTAGAAATAACACAGAAGCTCTCTGGACCAAAATCTAAACAGGAAAAAGCACACCAAACTGACAGAAGGGAAAATCATTTAGCAAAATATAAATTTTTATCTTAACACAGTTGGAAACTGTGGAGATACAGAAAAATTTTATGAAGTTCTGTGATGACGTCTCCCTGTCTCCACCATAGAAAAAGGGCTCGTGTGGTATTCACGCTTAAACAGAAGAAGAAGGCAGCTGGCAGTACCTCTTTCCTTTTCCCTAGGGCTCTGGCTTGTCTTCTCCTTCCCTCTGCTTCTAACAGGCAGCCCCACATGCCCAATACTTCACAAAATGTGCTTCTGGTCCCTGGGGCAAGTCGGAGTTTCTATAAGTTAAGGATATAGTTTCCAAGCAAGACTGTCTATAAAATCGGTTTATTTGTATGGCTCACTGAATGTTTACTGACATGAACCCCATTCTCTATGACAACACTCGTCTGATCCAGCATTTCTCGTTGACACAGCTCCTGCAGGAATATCCAGCTTTTCTCCATGATTTCGGAAAGGAATATCCAGCTTTTCTCCATGATTTCGGCTTACTATCTAGGCATTTGAGACTTCCAGGGCTTTTAGAGGCTACCGTAGCAACAGCTGTTGCTTTACTTTGGTAATAAAAAAACCTGAGCTCAAGCCACATAGAAGAAAAATTAGAAAAATCAAAAATATGTGAAGATGGGACTAAAAGAAAAATACGCCTATGTAGAAGTGAAACAAGACTATCACAGAATCATTCTTACATATTTCCATTCCACTCAAATGAAGTGCAACTTAACAATGAAGAAGGAGCCTCTGGTGCTTTAAAACAAAAACTTAAAACATGCACATACCAAAACTGTGATATTTCGGGCTGGCTACTTATTTAAAAACCTGAAAGGAATCAGAGAGACTAAGAAAAAGATTTAACCTTAAGGTATCCTAAATCACTCAATTACTCAAATGAAGGAGAATATAATTACTGTTTCATTGGAATACAAAATGGTCAGCAGGGTGGTGTCAGATGAGCTGAAAGGGCAACTTTGTGATACAAAAGGGAGAAAGCAAGGCAGGAATTAACTGTGTCATTATGCCCACGGGCGAGCAGGCAAAAGAAAGAACGGGCTCCACTGGTGTGGACAGGAGGTGGGCAGTCACCCGGACACGGTTGTGTGTGAGTCATATCTGGCCGAGGCAGAAATGAGATCATAAAACAGCATGGACGGCAGGTTTTAGACTTTAAAACAGCAAATAGGTTAGAAACGTTGAAATGAACGCAAAACTCTAATGTGGATCGAGACATCAAGAAACCCAACAGAAGGTGGTTATTTGGAGCGGGGTAGAAGGAGCCAAGAACTGGAATTATCCCACACAGTATTCTAAAGGCCTGCTGTCCAATTTCAGAGAGGAAAAATGTGATGTTAAAAGAACTGTAGGGCTAACAGTGTAGTGAGGAAGAGTACTGGCAATTTAAACAAAGAGTAGGATGCAGTTTTTACAAATACTAAACCTGAGGTTAAAATATGTGTTCACTAACTCTGCCATTGATTTGCGGGATTAATTATGTTTGTGTGCGCATGTACACGTGAATCTCTTGACCTCCTGGGATCTGAAAGTCATCTTCAGTAAAATGAAGAAACTAAAATACGTGATCTGAAAAGTGGTTTCAAGCTTTAAAATTCTAGGAAGTTAAAAATGGGGAGAGAGGACAGACCTCTTAGTAAACAAATATATGACGACACATTTTTGCTCTAAAGCTAGAAAGGACAACTGGGAGACAAGAGAGGCTTCAGCCCAGCTGTTAGATATAACCACAGCCACTCAACACCCACCACCCTGTGCCTGTATCCACACTGAGTAGGTCACAGCCTGGTCTCAGGACATTCTGCCCCATGGATTATTTGATGACGTCTCCGTCTCCTACTCTCCTACCAGGGTACAATTTTCTAAAAGCAGAGAAAATCCTTCCCAAGAAAATAAACACTCCCAAACAACTGTCCCATTCTGTTACCTATTTGGATTACATAATTACTATGAAGTCAAGACTTTCTTATTGACGTGCCAAAAAAAGAACTTTCAGCTCATAAGCTGAACTGCCTTTTCTCCACTGTCCAAAGCCCTAAAAAAAAAAAAAAAACCAAAAACCCTAAAAAGCAGTCCTCTGTCCTGTGATGGAATGAAAAATTCTACTGCCTCAACTCTGCTCTCAGTGGAAACTCAGATCGAAGTATTTTAAGTTTGTGGGGTTTTATAAGTCTTTAACAATAGCAACAATAATACACTCACTAATGTCCCAAACTGCCCTGCATAGGGACATAATCCTGGATATTTTTCTTGGCTCTGTTGAGGATAATTTAGACAGTATACATCTTAACCTTTTTGTTCAAGCATCTATAAAATTGGGCTACCAATAATTGGTAACTGGCATCATTTACTGGCCACCAAGTAAAACAGTGAACTCCCTCTGGACCCACCCCCCACACCAGGAGAAAACCACTGGGCCCAGCTGACTGGAATCCCTCAGAGCACAACACTAATTAAGGCACCTATACTTTTCCGGTTGAGGCAAATATATAAAAATGCTGAGGTTCCTTTTATAGCCTGCTCTAACTTGTGTGTCTGGATCAATGTAGAAATAGCAGCAATTTGCTCTTCGTAATTCCTCTCCAGGAATAAAAAAGGCTAGGATATTCCTGGAATGACTCCTCACTCACAAATCAGAAGGCGTACCTCCTGTGAACTGAACTTCGCTCATTCGGTCTGCTGCATGAGGATTAAAGGAGATAATGCATGTACAATGCTGAGTGAGAACCTGGCACACGTTAAACTCAATAAATAAATAATGTTAGTAATTGTGAGAGGGAAGGAGGGAAGAAGAGAGGAGAGAGAAGGAGAGAGGGAGAGAGAGAGACTGACTGACTCTGTCTCCTGATGCTTATCAACTTACTTGGAATATGGAAGATTGAAACGTAAGGCAATAGTTCCACAGCACACTCGAGATGCCTTTACTGTCCTCCGGCTCACAATTACTCACTTGCTAGCAATAATGCGGAACTTTCCACAGTTCCACGGGTACCCACATCCCACTCATCTACTGCTCGATAAATGAGAAACTACAATATCGAAACAATGGGAACAGAAATAACAAAGACCTAAAAGAAATTCCACAAATCCCTTGGCACTGGCCATGTAAAAGTTTTGCCAAAGAAGTCAAACATCCCACATTAGAAAACTGTTGTCAGTGAAGATAAAGGGTAAGCAATGCACGGAACCTGAACATCTGAATGAAAAGGTTATCTCCCGATCATATACCCTAAAAGTATAGCTCTTCTGTAAATTTTAGGCTACAGATTCTAAGGGACATCTTAGTGATCTTTCGTTTGGCTCTGCTGTTTGGACACACATAGTTGTCTTCTTTCCAGGCACAAAATCATTTTTCATGAGCTTGTGATAAGCAGGCTTTACTATGATTTATAAGTAAATTATATGCTTCCAAGCATAATTCACTTGGGACACACACACGATATATTAGGTTCACCTTCCTAGTGACACACCATCACATGCAGCTGTACAGGAAAAAATTTTTTAAGGTGGCAAATGAATGTCTGAACTCCAGAAAAGATGGTGCATTTACAACGGTCATGAGACCATGTGGCAAAAAATAAATGGCCACAAAACTTTTTTTATTTTGTATTATGCCTACTCAACCTGTAAAAGACTCCGATATGTCACATTTTTGTAGTTTCTAAAACACGTTTTTGGAACTACAAAGGGCATCAGTGCTATGCTTATTCAACTCGTAAAAGACCGGGCCACTTGGCAATTCTTGTAGTTTCTAAACCATGATTTCTGAAATGCAAAGGGCAAGTACGACTCACAACTTCAGAGAAGGGCAAGTAATGCTCTACCTCTTGCTGCATATTTGGTTTATTTCACTTGATGTAAGTTTTTATGGCAACCCTCTATTACCATGAAAGTGTATGTACTCTACGATTCAAAGTAATTAAATGCAACTTGTAAAAGTCAGGGTTTTTTTTTTATTTAATACATTCTAATCAAATAGTAACAGCAGTAAATAAACACTTTGAAAAAACAGGCAGGTATCCCCCTATATCTGGAAGAAAATTAAGTAAGAGTTTTCTACATGGTAGAAGGGAGACAACTGCTAATGTCCATGGTTAGACAATTCAAGGACAACTTGGAAATTTCTAAAGCCATTTCCAAAAACATCCATGGCAACAGGTTGGGGCACAGCTACTTCAAAAGGTAAAATGTCTGTATCTACATGGTTTTATTAACAGGGATTGAGTTGCACCTGTAAAAGCATGACATTCTTGTCTTTAGCCTTAAAGGAAAAGACAAAGTCTTTTCTGTTTGCACCAGTTTGAAATATTTCTGAAGTAAGGCTCCCTTTAGATTACTACAGTACTCATTCACATGAGAGTTCATACATGTAGTAAAAAGACAAATACAGGATTTCATGGTCACTTTTTTTGGTTGATTTGGTTAATTGCATAAAATGAAGGATAAATACAAGCATATCTGTTCAACAAAACCCCTAGGTACATCAGAATGCAAAACATAAAATGTCCTAAAATAGACTCTGATCACCAGGCATATAAAATTGAAGTTAAGCCTGTGTCAGTTCCCTTCCCCCACGTGGAGTTCCTTCTCTACTACTGGCACTTAGACGTTCGACCAAAAAGAAAGGAACGGCATTGATAAAATGTTACTTCAGCCTTTACTTGGGACATTTAATTTTTAACTTAAAAGGATCAACTGGTCTTGTTCAGCCATAGGAAGGGAGGCATTACTCAGGTGAAAATATCTGGGGGAACTTTAACTACCTAGCTATCTCATCACACATTTAAATTAAATTGACTTCAGCTGTTCTTAAGAATTCCATGTAGTTATTCAGAGCAGTCAAGTTTTGGTTCTCTTTTTACATAGCTGCATTCGGAGATACTCTATATGAGGCATGTTTAGAAAAAGAGAAACACTTATACCTGGAATTTATATTCTTCCAAGTAATCTTTTAGTCTTGTTGGTAAAGGCAGTCCCCAGATGGTACCGGTACATTTGTTAATGGTGAGTCTACAGAGATGCTGCAGAGGTGGTGCTGATGTGTAGAGCGGTTTGGTCAGATAAAGGTGAACAGTGCCATTCCGGGGGGCTTCTGGGCCCGTCCGCTTATCCTTGCACATCTGAACATAGTAGTCGATCAGATGAACCACACTGTCAAACTGTTTAAGCTTGGACTTGACACATATGATAGAGTCCAATCTGAATTTCCCATCGTGGTATTCGATTCGCAGATTAGTTGGTCCGGCTGATGTTTTAACAGATATTGTTAGTAGGTAGTCTGAATGCGAACTATCTCTAATCAAGAAAGTTCCTTCTGGTGCCTCTTTTAATTTTTCTTTGGCTTCGTTAACAGTCATACTTCCCCAGTACCAACCTGGGGTTTTTGTTCAAAAAGAAAAAGAAAAGAGGGTAAAAATAGTTATTATAAAGAATGCTTTAAATAGGGCAAAGTACTTGACAACAATTTTTCCAGCTCTAAAAAGAAGTGCGTGAGTGAAAGTTTACCAGAGGCTACCATAAATACTTTTGGTAGAAACTTAATGGAAATGTAGGTCCATGTTATCATGAACACAAACTGTGAGCCAGTTTTCTTTTTTTGTGTGTGTGGTAACTTTCTGTAGCGGTTCTTCAAAGTACGTTAAGATTTTCTCCCAACGAAGCAAAAGACTATTTGCAATGACACAGTGGCTGACAAAGCATGATGCTTCCAGCACTAGAGTGAAATCAAAGATTTAAAGTAAATCAGAATAAGTCAGAAGTTAGAAATAACAGCCATGCCCTTTAAAAAAAAAAAAAGTGGAAAACCCAACTCTAGTAATTCCAAAAGTAAAAACAGAAGTAACTTTTCGGATTCTTGGTGTCCACCACCCCCACCCTCCCCAATCTGTCAATGGCTGCATATCTGTTCAAAGCCCTGGAAAGTACTGCATTTACTTGTTTCAAAAGTGCAGTTCTGGTACAATAGCTTCTGTCTGCTGCTTCCTTATCAGTCATTGAGAAATGAGGGAAACCCCAATTGATAATTAGTACAATTAGTACTTCAAGTTTGCAGTCTTTTGGACTTTGCCCTAATCCAAATCCAAGCCCAACCGTCGGTCTTCCCAGCATTTTCGATCTGATCTGCCTGCACCATCTCCCGGGCCCATCCCGTTTTCAAATATGGCTTAAGAGGCATTCTGTATTTAAGAACTTTGAACAATATGCATCCTCCATCCCCCACCCTCCCACTCCCCAAAATTGCTCGTATTCCAGAATCTGCCGGTCCCTCGGCTGAGGGGAAAAAGCTCATGGCCCGCATGGAAAGACCTCAACCGCAAGTGAGAGAACTTTCCCCTCTCCCTAGCTCTACCAAAACTTCAACTTTGCCCCAAACGTAAGCGTTTAGAATCCAAATTTTGAAAGCCTGGAGAGTTCGCCAGAATTTTTTTTTTTTTTTTCATTCTTCTACTTTCAGATGCCGAGAGACGACAGCAAGCCGCACAAAGCGCAGGACTGCACTTGAAACCAGCAATACCCTGGGCGCGCCGCCCCTGAAGGACGCGCTCCTCCCGGTTCCGCTGCAGCCGCCTGTGTTGCAATCTGTCGGTGCCTGGACTTAGCCGCCCAGATCCCGGGCTGCAGCGGCCGCTCCGCCCGGGAGCCGGATGAAGCTGAAGCTGCAGGCAGCGCTGCGTCCACTCGCACTGCGCGGAAAGGAAGGCGCCAGGCACTTTGTCCCGCTAGGGTTCGAGCCCGAGTGCCGACCCTTGAGCAGGGCGGAAATAGTCACGGTTTCAACGCCCTTAGTGGCAATTTCCAAGGAGCCCTTCTCCCGCTCTGCCCTCCCCCAGATCTCTGAGTCTCTCGAGAACCACTTTCCTTTCTCATTCCCAAGGATCCAGGGCTGTGCGGCATCCTCTGTGGTCCCCCGCCCTGAGGCGGGGACGGGAAGCAAGGGGGACGTTATTCCATCTTCCTCTTTGCTTCCCACCTCGGCCCCACTTCCCAGCTGCGGGCCTCCCCAGCACAGCCCCCAGCAGCGTCTGTGGGCAGGCACCCCCTCTCGCACGCGTCGCGGCCGTTCCGCTCCCTACCTGTTTGACTGAGTTCCCGCAAGGCCTTCGCCAGACGCGCCGCCTCGGGGGAGGGCTCCTCCGCCGACCCCGCGGTCCCCCACTGACTCCGCGTCCCTTCCGCGCCATTCCCGGAGGGCTCGAGGCACCGCAGGGTCATGGGAGAAGGGCACCGCGGCAAAGACAGGTGGCCGCCCAAGCTGGGGTCAGAGAGGGGCAAGCGTCCTTCCTGGAAGTCAGTGAGAACCCCAAATCGCGTCCCTGCGGAGTATCCAAAATGGTGGTGGAGGGGGAGGGGGTGGGGAGCTGCTAGTTCTTCCTCCCCAGGTCCCAATGGACGGATGGCAAAGTCCCCCGCAGGCGCGGTCACCCACAGTTTGCCTGCAAAGAGAAAGTGTAGAGTTGGGTCAGTTCAAACTGGACCCCTGGCTGGGGTGTGGGTGGAGAGACAGAAACGTGGAAAATCCCGGGGACTCCTCCGCGTCTATGCTCCCGCACCATTTAACCCCAAGCATCCAGTTACTGCCCTGGCCCAGCTCTAGAGACAGAAGGATAAAGAGAGAGCAGGGATCCGAGACGCCAGTTGGAAAGAGGGAGGGGGCGGGGAGGAGGGACAGGATGAGGGTGGGGAACCGGGTCTCTTCCCGCCCAGGGCTGCTCGCTGAAATCTCAGACTAGCAGACTGGAAGAGTCACCTGCGGGCACCGTGGTAAATAGGACCTTGTGAAGGAGAAGTCGGAAATTGTTTAAAGGAAAGAACGGGAGGGATTCCAAACTGGTACTCATATCCCACACTCCGCACTGCCCAGAAAACCCCAAGAAGCAGCACCCCGCACAAACCTGGTTTCCCACCCTAAAGCGCCGCGAGGCTCCCGGAGCTGGAGCAGCCAGCCCGCAGCTCCGAGGCGCTCGACCTGCCGCATCCCGGGCCGGGAGGCTGCCTCGTGCCCCTCCCCCCGGTTCCCGGTGCCCGCTTGGAGCAGGGGTCAGGGGCGCCGTGGCGGCTGCTCCCGGGGCCAGGCGGCGCTGCTGCTGTTGCTGCGGGCGCTGTCGAGGAATCCGCCCCAGCGCGCAGCCCTTGTGGGGGTTCGGGGCCCGAGCCTGGGCCGGGGCCGAGCAGGCGGCAGCGAGAGCCACGGGACGCGAAAGACAACGAACGCTGAGCCCTTACCTCGGCCTCAGCTGCCGCCTCCGCACTAGGCAGCCTCCCCTGAGGACCTGGGGCGGGAGAGCCCGGAGGGATCGAGGAGAAGAGGGGTGTCTGCCCGCGTTTCCTCAGTTTTTAATTTTGCAACGAGGTGCCTGGGATGCGACAAGCCCGCCGCTCAGCGGCGGGGGCAGCCGGAGTCCTCAGCGCATGGGACAAACAAAAGCCCTGGGGATCATCGCCTAGACCCCCCGGGCTCCGACATCCCCCTTCTGGGCCTGGACACCCCCAACCCTGGAGCTGCTGGGTTTCCCTCCGGCTGCGACCAAGGAGGTGGGAAGGACAGAGGGAGGAGTAAGGAGCCAGGGCGGGAGGCAGGCGGGTGGGGAGGAGCGGGAGATCAGGTTATTAGGAGGATTATTAATTTGGATGGCAGTTTAGGGGGAAGGAAAAAAAAAAACTCCGGAGACTTTTCGACGCCGGGAAGGAACCGGAGAAAGCCGGCAACAGCGCCCGGCCTCGGGGCAGAAACGCAGCTGAGACTCTCTCCCTCCTTTCCGCTGCTCTCGACTGCGGAAGCCAAAGCAGCCCGGCGCTCGCGGCCGCGCTTGGGTGCCCTCCTCCCCAGCGACCCTCCTAGGGTGGAGCCTTTGGGATCCTCGGACCAGTACCCGCCGCCAGCCCCGGCCCTAGCTCCTCTGGTGCCCGGACTGTGGGCACAGGGGATCCTGAGGCTGTGCGCCCGGAGCTCAGGCGCGCACTGTCCGCGGCCCGCGCAGCGCCGGTGGCTCATGCTTCAAGGGAAGCCCAAGACCCGCGAGCCGCGGCGGCGCCGAGACTTGGCAAGAGTTAAACGTCTGTCCCCGGAACGATGAGTGCGCGCGACTTCCCAGCCCGACGCGCCTCCATTGCTCCCCGCCTCCTGCCCTAGCCCGCTCTCCCAGCTCGCCCCGCCCGACCGCTGCGGAGGCCGCTTTCCAGGAACTTTCCAGGAATTCGTCCCACGTGACCGCGGCCCCCGCTACTGCTTTAAAAAGGCCGAGGCGCTACTGCGCAGGCTTCAGGGGAGGCGGACTTAGCGCTCCGGTGGGGAGCTGGGCGGTGTCGCTGCCTGGGAACCCGCCCTCCTCTGACCTGGAGACGCGCAGGATGAGCCCCCGGCGGCCACCGTCCTCGTTTCGGCGGCCAGAGCCTGCTTCCCATCCGTGCCGGGGTGCTCCAGAGTCCAGCGAACACCGCACTCTTGACCCCTCGGCCCGCCGCGGGGGCTGTCTTTCCCATTCCCTCTGCGCCTTCTCCACGCGACGCTCCAGCCCCCACATTTTGTGAGCGGCGTGCAAGAGAGACTGGAGGTCCTCGCAAAGGCCCCTCCCCGTCGAAGACACCAGAATGGGTTGGAGAAGGCCCCCTTCCAGCCCCTTGTGCCCGCGCCGGACAGCGGGAGGGAGCCGGCCGGAGGCGGTCCGCTCGGCTTAGGTCCTAGAAGGCAGCCAGCGGCTGGAGAGCGGCGCCTCCTAAGGCGGTGCTGGCCGCTCTCAGTCCCCTCCCCCGGGCGGTGCTACTTAGTCTCCCAAACCAGTCCGGCCCGGCTCCTTCCCTCCTCTCCGCTCCACACACTCCCCTTCCGGCCGCCGAGTGGCCCCCGCTCACCTGCGCCGACTGCCGAGAGAACTCCCTCACTGGCGCTCCCGGGTGGTGCTGGGCGGTGAGCCTCGGTGCCTGAGGTTGGAGAGCGCGCGTCTCTGCGATTTCCCACGGGGCTGGCGCCCAGAGACAGGGAATTCGGAAAGATCCCGTCGCTTCTTTCCTGCCCGGGGACCCTTCACCTTCTTCCACCCGAATGGAGGTCTCCTGGCCTCAGTTGGAACTCATCTCCTTGCCTGCACGCCCGCCCCCGAAATGTGGCCTACTTTTTCAAACCATTAACACGGGAAAACCAGTTCCAAAATTTCGATAACTATTTTCCTTTGAAATACTATTCTATTGCACCACTGCTTAAAAGCTTAAAAGGTCAATGGCCACTTTTAGTTGAAGCGGCGGCTGTGGGGAAGTTGGGAGAGGAAGCGGGAAGAGGCGTGGGGGAGGCACGGCTCACAGACCTTGCCTGGTGCCCCCCCTGCTGGCTCTGGGAGGAAGCGTAAGCCCGCTCTCCGTCTTCCCCTCCGGGAGTCAGGGGCGGTTGGTTTTCTCCATTTTACTGCTTTTGAGTAAATAACTATGCATGTGAGGAAGTAGAGCCTGGGAGGGGTGGGGCATTTCCCAGCTAACAAAGGGCTTTTTCAACGATGGAGTCGTGTGCACAGAATCATGTTTTGTTTTTTAGAGTCTTTGATGTGGAGGGCGGAGCTGATTGAACCCTAGTTAAAACTCTCTGTGAAGTAGCTGAAGACTTACACGGGTCATTTACCGTGTTAGACCCTCGGCCGTTTCTATAAAATTAAGGGACTGGACTCCGGTACCAAGTGAGGGACTGGATGAATGAACAAATCAGATTCCATGTAGAGCTTGTATGTAGTCGGAGCCCAGAATTTTTAAGACTAGATCTATGTAGTTCACTATGTTCTAAATTCCACGTGGTTTCTCCTTCCTTGGTAGAGAAGGGTGTACTTTCTCTTCTGTAGTTTGAATTAAAAGATATTTTTTAAGTTTGAAAGAGAAATTTCTTTCTGTCAGCTGAAATGAATCTGCCGGCAACCCTTCTTAATGTGCTTCCCTGTTGCTTCCTAAAACATGCTGTTCCCTTTTGCTAGAATGCCAGTCTTCAGGGTATATGGCCAGATCTCATTCAGGTCCCAGCTCAAAGTCACCGTCACATAGTAATTGCCCACAAAGGTTACAATAAATATCAGCTGTAGGGGCACCAAATTTTGTACCAAAGTAGGATTTCAATTTTTGTCTATGAAATGTTTCTCAGCAATGCCCAGTACTTTGTTGGCCTTTTTAATCCCCAAGAAACACATATGGGAGCCTCTTAGGAAAATAATTATGGGATCATATTAAGTGAAAAAAGTAGACTATGAAATTGTATCTATGCTATTACAACATAAAATTATGTTTGCATGTGGGCAAAAACGAGAATGTGGAGAAATGAAAACGTGTTTTTAGGGTAGCAGGATATGGGTGAATTTTTAAATTTGACTTTTTTAAATACTATTCTAGTATTTTTGATAGTCATTTTCCTTGAATTGCACGTGGGTCAATGTCTTCAATTACTCTAAGGGAGTAGAGTGTAGTTTGTAAAGCTTATTATTCCAGTCCTGATGGGCCTCTCTCCCGAACTCCAGATCCACCATTCAGCATCACTTTTGAATGTTTAATAGGTACCTCTAGTTTAATATGTCCCAAACTGATACTTGATAACCTCTAAAACAGTCTCCTTTAAAATAAAAACAAAAACCATTCCTTCTTCAATCTTCCCCATCTCTGAAAATGTCAATTCCAGTCTTCATTTGCTCAGGCCAGAAGCCTTAGAGTCATCCTTGACTTCTCTTTCTCACACTCCTCACAACCCACTTGTCGGCCAATCCTTTGATTCTGATTTCATAATAAACTCAGAATGGAAGTGCTTGCCACATCTCTACCACACACCTGTCCAAGCCACTTCATCTCTGCCTGGCTTACTGCTACAGCCTCCTTCCTGGCATCCTTGCCCCGCTTATAGACTCTCCTGACAGAGCAGTGAGCAGGATCCTGTTTAAACTGAGTCATTTCATGTGCCGCCTCTGCTCCAACCGAAAAGGCTACATCACACCAGAGTAAAAGACAAAATCCCAATAGCCACTCCCAAGCCCCTTGCAAGATCTGGTCCCATTTGCCTCTGATCTCATCTCCTCTTGCTCTTCTTTAATTATGCTGTGCAAGTCACACTGGATTTCTTATTCTTTTGAGAACATGTTGCCTTTGCTCCTTCCTCGGGCATTTACCTATGCTGTTTCTTCTACCTATCATGCTCTTTCTTTCAGGTATCTACATGGTTTGCTTCCTCCCTTCCTCAGATTTTTATTCAGGGTCACTTTCTTCGTGGGACCTTACTAGGTCACCCAATCCAGAATCGACCCTCCCCTACACACTTATCTCTCTTCTCTGCTCTAGTTTTTTCCTTAACACTGATCACTATCTAACCTAGTTTATATTTTATTTATTGGTCTGGTTTTTTTCTTTCTCTCCAAGTAGAAAATAAGCTTCGTGAGGACATGTATTTGTCTTTGCATTGTTCAAAGCTGTACCTTAGCATCTTGAATAGTTCCCTGCACATAGTGGGCATTACACATAATTGCTGAATGAATGGATAGATTGAAGCTTTAGACGCATAGCTTTAGAGTTAAACTGCCCAAGCGTGAATCTTCACTCTGACAATGCTTGCTACATATGTGATCTTTGGTAAATTATTTGCCTCTTTTGGAGCTGTTAATGGAAATTACCTTACAGAGCTGTTATAAGGGTTAAATGAGATAATCTATGAAAAATGCTCTGGTACTCAGCAAATAATAAAGACTAGCTGCATTTCAACTATCATCCTTTTACTCTCAATGAGTTTGTATTTTTCTCCTCATTAGTAAGATTATCATATATTTGTTTATATGAAACTCAACAGTCACCCATCTAGGACTGCCTGAGAACTTCTTGTAGTTCATTCCCTGGAGCCTGTCTTCAGCTTTATATTCATAGGATGAAAAAGTGATTCCATTTGTTCCTAGCTATCCAGAAACATTTCTGTTCAGTGGTACAAGTACATGGCTGCAGTGGTGAACTGTCATTCTGCTTAAGGAAAGAAGAAAGAGTGATTTTCACAAACCTGGAGAGTTTCTTCTATTGTCTGCACTGAGGAATTGCCAAGATTTGAAAATTCCCTTTATGTGCCAAACCCAAACAGGACATTGTAGGTTTTGCAATGCCCATATTCTAATACTGGAATTGATGAGTACTCCACACTGAGTTTCTGCAGAGATGCAGAGAGAATATTTTGTTTTTTGTTTCAGGAATGGGAAGCTATAGGATGATCCTTGGCTATTGTGTCTGAAGCACTGTGGGCAAAAGCTGTGCTTTTACATGACTGCCATCCCTTCCTTTTAGAATTTGCCACCTCACCATTACCACCACCACCACTACCACCACACACACACATGCACACAGACTCCCTGTGATTCTGAAACCCACTTTCCTGGAGAACGTGTGACCTAAGCAGCCAATAGAAATACCCCAAACCCCTGGGCACGGGTCTGTCCAGCAGATTATTTTTTTAGGATTTGATGTAAGTGCTGCAAGAGAAACAATCTCTCCCCTTCCAAGATGATGAGCAGTAATAACTACATAAGCCAACCCTTCTACTACTTGGACAGCGTGCATCAGAGAACAAAGGGAACAGAAAAAAGCAGAGGTTCAAGTGATAAGGGGAAATTCCTGAGCACTGAATCCAACATGCCCTTGGGCTTCTCAGATACAGGAGACAATGAGTTTATTTTTTCCTGACCTGGTTTAATTCGGGTTTCTGTAACTTCAATCAAAGACATTCTCATAGAGTGTAGTGGGTTGGATGTGGAGGGATTCATGGGAGGGAGTGGAATGGAGAATTGAGAGGACGAAGAAGAGAAATAACCTACTTTAATGAGCATCTCTTACATTTCCTCTGGTGCT